CCGTTGTTGACGGCATCGTTGATGTCCTGCAGGTGGGGATATACACGTCAACAATTATGGTGCCGTCAATGCGTGCATGTCTAACATACATCGACTTCTTTGGTGCCCGACACAGACGGCACGGTGCCCCCGCAGTGCGCAGCAATGTGGATGACAGTGAACACGAGCACCAACTGGCACACACACACACACACACACACACATAAGTGTGAGAATGTCAGACAACCCTTGCTTTTCACTGTGTCTCACTCACCTGTCCAGTGAAGATGTGGACCTCCCGATGATGGTCCAAAAGGATGGAACATCGTCTGCAGCAAGCAGAGACGGCAGAGACACATGGTGTGTACAAAAGGAGGTGCTGTCTCGCATTTTCACCGAAAAGGTGTCCCCCTCAGCCCCGTCAAGAGGCCCCTGCACATGGACAGCACGAGAATGCCGGAGAGCACCATCAACGCCATCGCCGCGCCACGAGCAAAGAAGAGACCTGACAAAGAGATGAAAACGGACAGATCGACCAATACCTGATGAGTGCATGTTGCATCCTTACCAACTCCAAAAACAGCCATCTTGTCTCCCTGCGTCAGAAAGTAAGACCCGTACCCAACCATGGCGGCCACAGCAACGACGGCCAGCAATATCCTGACATACAGCTCCCCCCGCTTGCTCTGACCCACCCACGACGACAGCTCCCACGCAGTGAAGCGCGACTCCCTCGAGGCGTTGCGCACCGACAGAGACACCTCCTTCTTCATCGTCGGGTGCCCATTATCCTCTGCCTCCATCGCTGGCGGCAAAGCTATCCGCTTCACCGACGGGCTGAGCGCCGTTTCTGTGGAGGGTGGTTGTGGCAGCCCGGCGGTCGGCGCGGTCGGCTGTGCTGGTGGTGTGTGGGTGGGGATTCGGGAGAGGATCGCTTGCAGGGAGAGGACACGAGGGATGTAGAAGTTGAGGGATGATGAGGGCTGCTGCGACGGCGCGTTGGGGTCTCCCCCGCTGACGTTGCTGCTCCTGCGGAACAGCAGCGCCTCCTGGAGCGAGTTGCGTCGGCTGCCGATGACGGCTATCAGCGCGGCAGAGCTCTTCGGCTCATCCTTCGCCACACCGCCGTGCTTAAACTGCAGCAGATTTCTTCCCAAGTCGCTGATCTCATCGGGAACGTCCATCTCGGCATCGCCATCGGCTTCGTCGTCGTCGAGGGTCGAGAAAAGTCTGTCGAGCGGGGCGACCATGCTCCTTGGCGAGAAGAGCTCTGTATGCTGCGTATGCTGCGTGTTCATGCCGTATTGCTTGACTGACTGCTGATCGGTGGCGGACGACGTGATGATCTTGCCCAGCTGCCGATTGAGGGCGGTCAGGATGATTTGGACTGTTTCTGGTTTGAGAGAGACTTCGAATTCGAGGCACGCTTCCTGCAGCATGCTCCTCATGATATCCTCTCTCAATGTCATCTCTTCTTTGCTTGTCGTCTCGTCGCGCCTGCATTCACGAACACAGAACGATACACAATCCACAATCAGTACTTATGTGTCAGTAATTCGCTTTCTTGGCAAACGGACTTTTTCTCAGCGTGAAACGGACTCTTGTGCTATGTGATAGAACTCATCGAACGACGCGTGAAGATGCATTCCCGCAACACATGAATGCGGTCAGTACAGGGCTGATTGGTCAGACTTTTGGTTGGTATATGAGTGATTGGTGAGTGATGAGTGAGTGATTGGTTTATGCGGTTCATTCTGCTTGTGAATAGAGTGATCGGGATGGGCTGATTGCTT